CTCGGGATTCGGGGGTAGCTCGTGGCTAGGGGTAGAGGCAATTTCTGGGGTCTTGCGCGTCCTCAGATCTTCGCCAGTGTGAGTTGCGTGACACCCTGTGGAAGTTTTCATTTGCTCTTGTGCTGTTCGAGAAGACACCCGAGTTGGTCGAAGCGTGGCAGCGATGTGCGGCGTCGTGGACAGCGAGGGAGCTCTTTGATCATCACTTCGTGCGAGGCATTCTTCTGGAACTTGAAGGCCAACCCAAGGCAGACGATGACGATGAGAGGGCCGTCTTCACGGAAAAGGACTTAGAGCAGGTGGACGAGTGGCAAGGGTATGACGATGCTCAACTCGACAAGGTAAAAGGCAAGGAAAACAGTAGGTTTCATTTCGTTTTCCGCGTATAGGTCTGCGAGACGCATGGAATCTCAGTAGTACAACGTAACAAGGAAGAGAAGTTAGCCCAGCTGAAGCGATGGTTGATGGAGGTTGCGGGCGACAGACAAGAGTTGGACGGTATGGATGTCTCCGATGATGACATCTCAGAACTCAGCCAAGAAGATGAGGAGATGTCTGATGGAGAGCCGTTGGAGGAGGATGAGTGTGAAGCGGTTCCAGACAATTGGGAGACTCTCGATGACAATCCGGGGGAGGAAGATGTTGACGGCGAACCAGTCGAAGCCGCTGAGCCGCCCACTGCGCTCAGTTTTGGTGTTTCAGTGCCCACAATGGGTCCGAAAGTTCCAGGAGAACGGAAGCCGACAGCCTCAGTTGCTACAGTTAGCAATGATCGGGTACAAGTAGTTGCCGACATATCGAGTTTGATGGTTGAGCTTCCGCCCCCCAAAGTGACACCTCCGAAGCGGCGTGAGCGCAGTTGGAGTAGGAGTCGCCGGAGGAGAAGCAGGAGTCGTAGTGATAGTCATGAGAGAAGACGGTCACGGAGGAGATCGAGATCTCGGGAGACGAGTCGTCGACGTCGTCGCACAAGGCGTAGCGTCACACGCAGCATAAGTCG